TGAAATAAAATTGGGTCTGGACTAGAGATTGGAATCTGAATTTATTCCTAATCCTGATGCTCAAACCATTATATCATATCAGGTTTTCTTCAAATTTTAGAGAATTAGAGGGAATTAATAGTAGGCTTTCTGAAATCTTGGGTACCATACATCAGATAATACTGGAGGTGTATGAAATGACTTTATTGCGGGGCATTACAGCCCACTGTAGCTCAATAGGATAATTATATTCTAGCCATTGTACAAAACATATACATTATCCAGCAAAAAGATTCAACATTCTAAGACTCAAATCCCATCTTCTAGTGAAAAACTGGTATATTTTATTGGAAGATTTCAATCCTGCAGTTCTGTCTTCAGTAATTAGGGTAGACTTCAAAATAGATTTTTTTAAAAAGTCAGACTGTTAACATTAAGACGGGAAAGGATTTCAATAAACACTGCTGACATTTTTCTCTATAACAAGAAACACTGAAATTGAAGAAAGTTATGATCAGCTTACCTCAGCTCCTCCAATACAACAGTATTGTCATACGGCCCAAGTACCAATTCACCAAGTTGTCTGTTTTCTCCACTTGGATGGAAAGTGACTTTGTACCCTTTAACTTCCCCAGGGGCTGGCTCCCAGGTTACACGAAAGCTTGACCTTGTAGGATCTGAAGTCTGCAGATTTTTGGGAGGTTTAAATGGAGAAGCTAGAAAAGTCAAACAATACTCATTGAATCCAATGTGAGCTGTACCCACTGGATAAATGTGTCAGGGCCACTGTACATGTTCCGTGAAACAAACAGCAGTTTCAAAATTTTACTCAGACAGATCCAACACTGTCAGATACACGTTTTTGCTTATGTTGTGGTATTTATTTCTTTTACTTTCATGGCCTCAAAAATGTTTGAAATCTTCTGAAGTAAATTTTTAGAGCATGCAGAGAAAGCTGGAGGGGAAGGGGCTTAAGACAAGACCCTGCTTTGTCTTACTTACAAAAGCAGTATCATCTATGGAATAACTTAACTGAATCCATACAATCCACCATCTTGGATTCTATCAGCATTGGAGGCCTTACACTTGCATTTAATATTTTCAAAAAAATAAGACATCTACCCAGAGTTTCTTTTCCATTCTGTAGATATTTCAAGATAATTTTAAATAATTTATTATTATTTCTGCTGCTGCTGCTGCAGCTGCATTTGTATCCATTTTGCAAAAATCATAAATCAAAGGGAAAAAGAAGTGATTTCAAAACAAATATGGGAACTTAACTACTTAACAATTGAATAGTCATTTGATGCCAAATAGTTGATTCAGTATTTAGCACCAATTTGTTTATCTTAAGGAAGGCGCTCACTGGAAGAAAGTTGATTTATTGCCTACATTACAAATATTAAAATAAGATGGAAAATTTGAAAAACTGTATCTGCTAATTAACATAATTTCAAATGGACTAAGATGTAAATTTCTTTTCCAGAATTATACAAAAATACATTTGTGCACCTGGAAACAGAGGTCGACATCTCATACCTCTTATAAAGTGTGTTATGGTCCTATAAGATTATGTCTTAAATTTACTTTTGAGGTGCCAAAATCATATGTGGATTTTCACTTTAGTAACAATCCATTATTACCGTTCATTATTGACAGGTTACAATGGTAAATCTTTAGGACACTTTAAGGTGTTCTATAAGCAGTGCAGCAAATAAAGATTAAATGGCACTGGATGTAAAGCACACAATAAGCAAACATTAAGTTCCTTCTTAATTCAACTGCTTTTTTTTCTGTTTCAAGCTATCCCATATGTGCATAGTTTTTCTTTCTTTTTTTTACTAAAATGGCACTCATTCAATCTCAAAGAGTAAAAGCCAAGGATTTTGGTAAGGGATGAAACAGAAACAGCGTTGCTTTTTAAACTCCCAAGCAGACAATGCATTAGAATGCCAAGGACTATATTTAGGATCTTAGGAAAAAAGAAGATAATCGCAGAATGCTCAGGACGTAACTCCAAGATCCTATCAAATTTCTGTTCTCATTCAGAATCAGCTTGAAAATACTTTTTATAATCACTTCAAACTACAGCTTCTAAGGCAGCAATCAGAAATCTATGTGAGAAGTCCCACGAGTACCAGATAGTAAGAATAATGGTAAGAGATTGTAGAACAGTGGTCTTCAAACTTGGCCCTTTTATGACTTGTGGACTTCAAGTCCCAGAATTCCTCAACCAGCTTTGCTGGCTGAGGAATTTTGGGACTTGAAGTCCACAAGTCATAAAAGGGCCAAGTTTGAAGACCACTGTTGTAGAGGTTGAGATCCAGCAACAATTAAAGGGCCAAAGTTCTCTAAACCTTCCCTGAAGAAACAGATTTAGTACACTGTTCTACACACTCTTCTACTGAACCTCTAACCATAGATTATACTTCAAATACATGGGAAAGCTTGAGATTCTCATATATTTCTCCTGTGTTCCAGGTAATCACAACCAGTTGCAAATTAAATGAACTATGTCACAGTCTTAGGACAAAGCTATCAGATCTAGGCTACAAATATCTGGAATGCTAAAGGGCAACAACAATGCCAAAAGCTTTCATTTTTTGCTACCTTCTAATGGTCATTTGAACTTCAGACAACATCTAGTAGCCCTACTTTAGGAGTAATTTACTGAGCCACTTAAAAATATTTTTTGTTTGCTGCTCCTTTCTTTTACAGTTTTTAACAGTGCCAGTTGAAGGGTATGTGATGTCCCTTGGCCACGTTGATATGTGCTGAAATTAAGCCCGTGAACAGGCAGTCCTCGGCTTACAAGTTTAGTGACCATTCAAGGTTACAACAAAGTGACTTATGACCATTTTTCACACTTACGACCATTGCAGTATCCCCATAGTCAAAGTCGGATGCTTGGCAACTACTCATATTTATGACGGTTGCAGTGTCCCGGGGTCATGCGATCACCTTTTGTGACCTTCTTACAAGCAAAGT